TTAGGGTTTAGGGTCTGGGGTTTAGCTTTCCCGTGGTCTTTAGGCAGTTAAGAAAGCAAGGATTGCAAGGGTTTAGAGTTTAGGGCTTAGGGGACTACGCTGCAGGCTGTAAACCCGAATTGAGGGTTTACAAAACCGTAAACCCTAACTGTCGCATGGAGATGGCACTGTGATGACGAGATGAATAAATTTGAACAAAATAATAATTTAAATGATTAAATAATTTAAAATACATTTAAAATAAATTCAAAATGAAATAAATGAGAAAACAATTAAATTCAACTTCCACATTTCAGGTGTCACTACACCTCAGACACAGACAGGGCTGGGGGGCCCCCAAACCCTCCCGCTCGCCTCGGGGGCCCCCTGGGGTCTTTTCTTGCGGAACAAAAGCAATTTGAATTAAAAAAGTGAAATTAAAAGTTATTTAAACTTAAAAAGCTGCAAAAAGAATTTAAAATCCCAAAGTTCTGATGTTTTTCCTTCCAGGGTGACTCTGATGAGGCAGCTGCAGCAGCTAGCCAGCAGGCCTTCTCCCTTTTTGACCCGTTTTCGAGTTAAAGAATTATTTATTTAAATCCATTTTACTTTTATTTCTTTTTATTTTATTTTGACGCAAAGTTGAGAAAAAAGAGCGAAACAGCATTGACGCCAGCAGCAGCAGCAGCAACAGCAGCAGCAGCAGCAGCAGCAGCAGCCTTGTCTCGCTGCTTTGCTGCGTCTCTCTCTTTTCGGGTTTTGTTTTTCTACTTGAGTGAAGATGGCGGAAGAAAACAAAGGTGAGAAAGGCCAGATGAGCCCCCCTAGGGTTTAGGATTTAGGGTTTAGGCTTCAGGGTTCAGGGTTTAGGGTTTAGGGTTTAGGGTTTAGGGTTTGTGCGCAGCTTCGTCAGACACCCTCGATGGGACTCTTTTGTGTCTCATGTGCTGTCGCAACTTCTGGACGGACATTTTGAAGCTGAGGTCTTTGAAAACCCCAAACCCTAAACCCTAATCCCTAAACCCTAAAACAGAGGTTTCTCAGATCTAAAGGAAACAAACGGCCAAAACAATCAAGTCTTATCATCTGCTGCAGCAGCAGCAGCAGCAGCAGCTTGGCCCGCCATTGTTGCACTTGTGTTGCAGCCTCGTGTCTTACTTCTTTTGGGTTGGCCTCATTTACTTTTTAGGAGCAGTTATATTACTTGCAGGTGAGGGTTTAGGGTTTAGGGTTTAGGGTGTAGGGTTTAGGGTTTAGGGTTTAGGGTTTAGGACTTATCTTTCAGGGCTGGGGGCGTCTCCTCTTTTTTGTGTCCCCTACCTCCTGTTTTTTACAGGGCTCAGGGTTTAGTGTTTAGGACGGTTTAGTGTTTGGGGTTTAGGGTTTAGGGTTTAGGGTTTAGGGTTTAGGGTTTAGGGTTTAGGGTTTTGTCTTATTCAGGCTACACTTACAGCGCGCCTCGCGTGCACTCTGAAATCGCCTGCCCCATGACTTCTTCGGTTTATGTTTTTGTTGGATTGTGGCTTTTCCAGGTGAGGGTTTAGGGTTTAGGGTCTAGAGTTTAGGGTTTAGGGTTTAGGGTTTAGGGTTTGGGGTTTGTGTGGGGTGTCTTTGCAGTCTTTAATTTTCTTCTTCACCTGCTGGGCCTATTCGACTGTCGTCATATCCGGAGAGTAAGCAGCAGCAGCAGCAGCACTGCAGCAGCAGCAGCAGCAGCAGCAGCACTGCAGCAGCACTGCAGCAGCAGCAGCAGCGGCAGCAGCACTGCAGCAGCAGCCCCGCCG